CTGCATGCCTATCATTTTTAGCATGAATCGAGGCATCAAATAAACAGCAGCTCCACCATCCACCAGAACCTTGTTCACACCATATTGCTCCACCTTTGCCCTGATGAATAAAGGTTTTAGATGGTTCTTCATTTCTTCGTCTGGCTTTTCGAAGAAAGCGTTTTGCTCTTCTACCGCTCCATTGTTCATCACATAATAACACAATTGCCTATGTCTGGCCATTTCGTCCTCGTCAGTCTCCTCACCAGCATAAACCTCTGTATCCTGATTGTACTCACAAGGCAGCACCGAAACTACATTGCAGTTTGCATTAAAGAAGGATTCCCCCTCCGATTCAAAGTCATCAGTCATCAGGTCCTCTTCGTTTGCAGCCTCCTTCTGAGTCTTATTTTCTTCAGTGTCTTTCTTTGGTGAAAAAAGTTTCCTGGACACTGGGGGTTTGCCCCCAGTCTGGTTCACTGATGTTGGGTTATTGGTACTAGATTCTCCTATCCCCATAGGCTTCGAATCCCTTTCTGCTTTTTTATTTCTCTGGTGTCTGCGCCACTGAGAGCGAGACATTGGATTTTTGCCTTTGTAATTTTCCAGTCTTATTTCTTCCCTCCTATTTGAATTGAATTGCCTCCTGTAAGCCATCACAGTCCTGCCTCCTTGGTCATAGCTGCGCCACTTCCCTTTTCCCTTATCAGCCTTCACTTGCAGCCATCTGTCAGTGGGGATTTCTGCAAGTAGTTTAAAGGAAACTTTCTTTGCTCCCCTGGGGTAAGGGCTATCTGGCCTCCTTGGTATATTTCTGCCAGTGTTAACAGGATTCGAAGGCATTCTGCCTTGGTGCCCCCAGCCTGATGCAAATGGAATTCTCTCGAACGCTTCAGCCATTTCTTTATCATACACCGCTGAACATCTGGGACATATTAAACACTCTGTTCCAATCTTGTGGCAACGAACCAAGAATTCGAGCAGACTTTCATCAGCTTTTGGATAGACTCTATACAGTTGGTTGTCTTGCCTCCAGTTGACCCATGTTCGTTCGCGTTGGGCCCTTTCGAACTCAGCAGCAATTCTGGGGTTGCAGATGATGCTGCACCTTGGCCACAACAACTTATCCTGGTTTTTCTTATGACAGTGGAAGAGGTATTCGCGCAAACTCGCGTCTTTTCTAGGTAAGTTCTCTCTTCTTTGCTCTCTGTCCCTCTCCAAACAGCGTTCCACTTCTTCCATTTCAGCGTTGGGCTGTTTGAAGTCCACCATATTTACTCCCAGCATTTGACCATCATAAATTTTGACTTCTTCAAATTTTATCCTGAGACCCTCAGTGGCCTCAGTTAATTTTTTGTCACTTAGTATCTTTTCTTTGAGAACCTTTGGGAGGCCATCAGTAGCCTCTCTTCCATTCTTGATCAAGATGAAGTCCCCATCCTCTTTGAATTCCACTTTCGATTTAAATTTCCTCTCAGCAATTTCTACTACATTGATGTCCAGAGGTTCAGCATAGTTAGTCTCCGCCATCAGCAACTGATCCGTATCAACTTTCATTGGATTCTTCCCTTTGTCTGAGAACTTCAGCCTGCCATCTTTGATTGCGTTTTGTATCAGATCCATGAAAAGAAAACATTGTGAGGTTTTATGGCCTAAAAAGTTGTGATATTTACAAAAGCCCCTCTTCTTCCTTTGTTCCAACGGAGGAATCTTAAGGTTAGGAGGAACTATTAACTGGCCATATTTAACAAGCAGATCAAATATTTCATCACATTTAGTTATATCGAAAGTATAGATTTTCTTAGGGAATTTATCATTCTTTTCACTTTCGACAGAATCCTTTCCATTGGAAGGAAGCAGAACTTTGCAAGCATAAGGGGGTGCTTCCTTTAGTTCTGCAAGATCTATTTCGAACTGATCAAAATCATAAGGGTCTTGAGAATCATCTATGTTCTCCTCTTCGACCTCTATGTAGGCTATTCTCTCTTTCTTATGATTTTTACTAGCCCTAGCCTTTTCAGCTTTTAATCTTTCGACCTGACGAACTCTATCTGCTAGTTGGGCCATATCTCTAAGATACTGTGTATCCAATTTCTTTCGAATGGAATAATCTAGGCCCCCAGCAGCCATTTCGACCAATTCATGTTCAGGGACCACTGTGAAGCATCTAGATTTTAATAAACGGAACCTATTCAAATAATCATCTATTGGTTCCGTGAATTTTCTCTTAATGCTTGCTAATTCTTTGAGACTAATTTTAGACTGACCCATGTAAAATTGTTCATGGAAAAGTCTTTCTAAATAAGGCCATGTGTCCACAGATCCAGGGGGTAGGGTGGTGAACCAAGTAAAGGCGTTCTTCGTTAGAGAACTTGGGAAGTATTTTATCCTAAGATTTTCATTATTTGCTATATCTCCTGCTTCGGTTAAATATCTCGCTATATGTTCCACTGTTGATTCACTCGTGTCTCCAGCAAATTTCGTGAATTTAGGGACTTTAAAGCCCCTGGGTGATTCTGTTTGCAGAACATAGTCTACAATAAGAGATGTGTAATTTGGCCTCCTAAATCCTGAATTTAAACCATTCTGGGCCATTATTCTTTCGATCATGGTGGTGAGGTTATTTTCTTCCACTAAATTGTCATTTCTAATTCTATGAACAATTTCGTCTGCATTTTGGTCCCTATTCACCATCATTATTGGTCTAGGCTGTTCATTCTGAACTTCCTGAACTTCCTGGTTCCTTAATCTTACCCCTATATTTCTCTCTTCGACCACTTGTATGGGGGGTCGAATCTGTTCGATCGTGGGTTCTTCGTTTCGAATCACCACTGGGTTTTACCTACGTCTCGCAGGCGCATAAGGGGCACCAAAAAAATCTGCTATTCTGGCCATCTGGGCTGCATTTTCTTGGTTTGTTCTATTTATATTCTGGATTAGGGGATTGAAAATAGCATTCATTTCGCGGGATAGGATTCCTACCATATCATGATTGCTATCATCCATCTGTTGCCTAAGCGTTGCTTGACTATTAGTTGTAAGGGTAGGCAACTGGGCGAAGTTTCCTATATTCTGGGAATTTGTACCCAAATGGTTCATTCCTGAACCAGATCCTTGGAGTGGAGACGAAGTTGATGCATTATGTAACCCTTCCATAAACGAAGTTGGCATTCCATACGGAGGGTTTCTGGGTCTCAAAGGTTCGAAACCTGGAGGCCTAGTCGGGGTCGAATACTGTTGATTCCCTACGTGTGGCACAGTTTGCATTGAGGACACGTTTGATGACATTTCTAATGTACTTACTGGGACCTTATTCGAACTGCCAACAAGGATGGTATTGGAGGCATCAATCGAACTTGAGACGATTGTTGCAGCCCCCTGTGGGGGATTTTGTCCCCTATCTTGGTTGGTTGTGTTAACCATTGTTTTGGTACGTTGTCTTCTGGGTATATGTGGATTATTATTCTTTATTTTGCCGCTTCGAAGTATCATGTATCGAAATGCGCTCCAAACTCAGAAGATCCTAAAATTCTCTAATCGGTTTGATAGAACTTTTTATTATGACACGGTCCCACCGGGTGTGCCAATTTGTTTACAGTGATTTCCAGTAAATAACCGCTAGTCTTCCAATTTATTAATTATTATTGGTTACTTGTAGGATCGACTAGATTGATCCTAGGACACATGTGTCATAACTCATTTCTATGTTCATACCCATTATCTTGATAAATTTATATTGTATGTTAATGTCGAATGTGAGATTCTTAAGAAATATCTCTAAGATTGTCTATAGAAAGAAACTGACTGAATGTACAAAGGAAAGGCTTCGAATTAGACTTAAGATTTAATACTTGAATGTAAAGATAAGGAGTTTCTGAGAATATAACAGTTTCTGGAAATATGAAGTGTTTGAACAAAAGGATAAAGTAAAAGTGAAGTTTCTAAAGAGATAAATGTGTTTGAAAGCAAGTAAAACAAGGAAATAAAAGGAAATCGAAAGATTTAAGAGAAAAAGTACTGTAAAAGTGAAAGAAATATAAAAAGACTTGTATTGAAATTATAAAGAATCATGATGTTCAATACGTACATTTTGTCTTCTAACTCGTTTCCCTTAAGTCACGGTAATTTGAGTGTTTGAGATTTTTTAGTACACGAAATGAACACCTCAATTCTAACATAAAAACACCTATTTATAGTATCCTGACCCTAACGGTCCTACTCTAAAATCATGCCACGTTCGAAGCATGCAGGCTCCTTACGTTTACTGACTTCCACGCGTCTTCTAAGAATGACGCTCTTATTTGAAATTCGAACCCTATGCCAGCGAAGTATTTTGCTAGTTTTCTTCAATTCGAATTAAACCAATTGCCTGGACCGCTTCCAATTCTGGCACATTTGCACAAAGGAACTCTTTATATTTTAAACACTAAAAATCCCAAATCGAAATCCATCATCTATCACTGGAAATCGAAGAGTCCTTTAGAACAATGGTTCTATATTTCCCACTAATATTCATCATTGATATCAACCTTCTTATATACTTATTCGAAATATTATTTTGAAATCCAATTATTCTTTATTCGAAATTGCCAGCTAACACAACCACACTTACTTCATTTTATTTTCAATTTTATTTTTCTTAATCTTAATTTTGTTATTTTTATCGCATGATGATTATCTGATGGTAAGTTGTTTCGAAAAAATTATATTTTCATAAGTTAACCTTTTGGATTCACAAGTTTCGCGTATTCACTAGACTGTATATAATTCTAATCTTATTTTTAATTTTGTTTCCATACATACTAGAAATCTAACTTCTAACCAATTTATATACTAAACACTTTCTTTTATTTTGAGTCAAAAAGTCAAATATTCTTCATTCTTTTTCATTATTCATTCTACGTTTTGATTACTGTAAAAATAAACTATTTCCTTCTATTTTGAAAATCATGCTAACACATAGTAGAACTTGAATCATTCAAACAAAATTCTAACTATACATTTAATCAAATATATGGTATGCAAAGTTTAAAATCATAACCAAACAACCTATAAATTCATTCAAAATTGTCCACATACAACTGGTACAAATTCTTGTTGTTTTTTTTTTTTACACAAAAAGGAAGAGAGGAGAAAAATCTGAAGCCAAGAAGGAAATCGAAAGCAACAACAGTTCAAGATCGAAAACCGAAACAAATAGAAACGGAGTTAACCACAATCGGGACACTCTAGACCCGACGTCCCTCATTTACATATCAGCGGTGGAATCGCACAACTATCACCGTCTCAACCTTCATCTGCACCGGACTCACAGATCGACGGTACTCACACGACCTTTGTCGGAGCTCTCTAAATCCACGCCGATTCCGTCAACACCACCGGTAATTTTCTTTTAATTTTATCTTCTCCATGTTTTGAGATTGTGTTTTCTTTTCATTAAGATTTGGGATCAATATTTGGGCTCAATATTTAGGCTCAATGGCCTTATTCAATGTTGTCCTCAATACTAATATTCACACCCCTAATTGAACTTAGTTTTTTATTAGCCTTTTTTTAATTAGTTAAGGTAAATGTTAAGAATATTTAATTTATTTAATTTAGTTTATAGTGAGTCAAACATTTAATTTTATTAAATTATACAAAAAAGTATAAAAAACACAAAAGATACAAAAATAATAATCTTTGTACATATTCAAACAATTTTCACAACAAATAATATAATGGATGTACTTTTTCGAATAATCGATTGGTCGGATTAACGCTTACTAATTAAGTATTCAAATAAAATATATTTAAAACTAATCAATCAATCAAATCAATTTCTTTGCCTAACACGAATTGATTCCAATGAAAATAAACTCTTCTTCAATCCATCAAAATTAAATTCAAAATAGCTAACCAATCTAAATTATTATTTGTGCTAACATAATAAAAATCCAAGATTATTTTCGAAAAAGGATTAAGGAGAATTTCTGTCAAAATTAAATGCGAATTGCGTCTATGATCACTCACTTTTCAAACTCAGACAAGGTTCAAAGATAATTCGAAAGCAATTCTACCAAATTCTATAAAAAATACCAACCAAACTACAAACTACAAATTGGGACTCTGATTCCTTATAAGAGGATACGTAGGCACGCGGCTTAAAAACCAAGGCGAGTCCCTCAACTAAAAACTAAACTTTTTTTCAAATACATTAACTATAACATACCTGTGATCGGTGGAAATAGAACTCACTGTTTTTTAGCTGGTTTCGCGAAATGTCGCGGTAAGCAAGAGTCGCCACCGTCTTTTATGTTCTCCAACATGGAAAGGACAAAAGCACAGCAAAATTCCTTATTCGAGAATGTTTCTCGGTTCGAGAGGTAGATTTATAGAAAGGGAAGGTGTTAGCACCCTTTCTATCCATGGTTATCCATGGGCTCTTAGGTACTTGCTCTTATGTTTTCAAAATTTGTTTGCTTTTCAAATGTGTGTGGGTTTTGAAAAAAGTTTCGTTTGAAAAATTTCTAAGTAACTCTTGTATCAGTCCTCAAGAGTGTATGAAAAATTTGTTTGAAAACTTTTAGAAAGTATGAGCGCGAAAAGTTGTTTTTGTTTATTTTGAAAAGAGCAAGTACCCAGGAGAATCTACCTACTCTAAGGAATTAAGCTGTGTAAGAGTCCTTTAGATAATGCTATCCCACCATTGAGAGGTAGGTAGCACCATCGTTGGAGGTGTTCGGGTCAATTCGATTATCGGGACAGTGTGGTCACCGAAGCAATGGTAGGACATCTTAGAAGTAACCCTAATGTCCTAGATCCTTTTTTATCCGAGGTAACCGTTTCGAGGCAACTGGATCTTTTGGACAGAAGGGCGACCTCTAAAACACCCTATACTTGATGACCACGTTCGAGGCAACCAATGAGGCGTACCCTAGGAGTGGCATGTGCTTTGTGTGTTGTTTTTCAGTTAATGTTTTTGTACATGTTATTTGTGAGCTACGGATTGATTTTATTTACATACATTCTTGCAGGCATTTTTTAACAGTTAGGAGTGCGGAAAGTAAATTGCAGAAATGTAAATTCTAACTATTACAAGGCGCGGGTCTATACATCGCCAAAAAACAATAACTCGTTTTGTAAAATAAAGTGCGAGAATTTAAATAAAGCGGTAAAACCTAATTAACTATTACATATCTGGAGACAATTACATAAATAATCAAAACAAATAAATGCGCGCGAGTAAAAATTAATCGGGAACGTCCTAAGCGTTTTGACCCTTTTAAGAAAAGAATTGAATTTTTTTGGGTCCTTTTTTGTGATTAAATGAAATTAGAATTAATGACTAATTAATTAATTTATTAAAAGAAAAAATGTTTTTGTATTTTTATGTTTTTAATGAAATAAAATAAAAGGAATTAAAATTAAAAGTTAATAAAAACCTAATTCTAAATTTATTTTAGTTATTAAGAAAAAAAGGTTAAAGTTGCCTAATTAAAACTAATTCAATTTATTAGTATTTATTTACAAAATAATTACCTAAATGAAATTAATAAAATATTTACATTTTTTTTGGTTTTTTTGAATTTTATTGTGAAAAAAATTAATTATGGGTTAATTAAATAATAGCAGTTAATAATAATAATTAGTTAAAAGAAAATAAAATAAAAAAAGAAAAGGAAAGAAAATATGAAAGAACCATGGGGGGTTTGGGTCTTTTTTGGAGGTTTGATTCTGGAATTCAGGCCCATTAAGAAGCAAGTCTCGTTGACCTTGGGGATTGACCACACGCTTGTTGACTAGGGGGTACCATGCTCTTCATCTCCTGGCCATTGGATGTGCATTAGGAGACACATGGCTGGCTGATATGTGAGGTTTATGGTGGATGCTATTTGAAGGCCTGCATAATAACATAATAGAAAAAATAATGTTGAGTTTTGGGGGGACCTGGGGATCGAACCCAGGTCCCAACGCTCAAATCTCCTTCGCCCTGACACTACACCAAATGTCTCAATTGTAATAATAATAAGAAAATAGTGTTATATGGAATAAACGAGTCACATGTTGGAAAACAAAAAAGAGCGCGCATATGTTCAAACCCACCAACCACATGGCAACACGCAGTCATCTTCTTCATATTTTTCTGTAAAATGAAAGTTAGATAGCGAGGGTTTTAAACCCCCACAAAACACAAACGCCAAAAATAGCGATTAGATCTGTAGCACATATAAAAAGGGCGCGAGGGTGTCAACGTGTTCGTCTCATCAAGCCGGTTTCAACCATGGGTCTTAGATGTTCTGATTTTACAGTATGTGAAAAGCCCCAAATCAAAAGCTCTGAAACCCTAGGATTCGTTAATGGTGGTTTCGATTCCAGGGCATTATAACGCAATTGAATTGTACCAAAAGCTTCGCCTGAGTTCTATAAACACAAAACAAACAATGAAAGATGTCAAAAATGCATGAATTGATGGTTATGATTTTGAAAAAAGAAGGTAAACCGTATGACTGTGTAGCACGAGTTCTTGAGTGTTAGGACTTGTTTATGATTGCAATAGGTTCCTGGCAATGCTGGCAACGTGTTAGAAGCAAGAAAAGTGCTTGAATTATGCTGGAATATGGATTTCAGTTTGTGAATTTCTTTGGAAATTTTGGAATTGGTTCTGGCCGTTTTAGGTGTTTCTAGATCGTGCTTAAGGTCTGAGAGGCTTGCATATATGTGTATGAATGAGAATAAGTCAATATTATGAGCCTTTAACCATTGCAATTAAGTTTTGGATTTCCTCTTTACCACCATTAAAGGTCTTGCCATGTTTTGTCCAAATTTGAATTTTCATGCCTAAATGATCTTTACATGAATTTGGTAGGTGTATTGTGATGTATCAAAGTCATTCAAACCACAAGATATCCATTAATTAATTTTTTTTGATTTTTATTTGAATTTTATGGATTTAAAATGAATTAAATCAATAAAATTAAATAAAAATAGAAAAATTAATGTTTAATCTTGAAATTAATCCTGGGACACGTGGGTGGCATGACAAGGCTGAATCAAGTAGAAAAAAGTGGGCCCTTTTGTCAAAAATTGAAGTTTCAAGGATAGTTGACTTTGGCCATTTCACAAAAATTTCCAAACTTCTCCAATGCATATCTTGCTCAATTTTGATCATATGAACAATTTCTTGGACATTTTGGAAAGGTCTTGAAGTCCTCTAACCAATGCCTTTGGTCCCATGTCATTTTGATTTACCAATCTCAAGTTATGGTATTTGACTTAAAATTCCTTTTTGTTGACTTTTGAAAATGACCTATAATGTTGAAATTGATAACTTTTTGTGAGAGCATTTCTTGGACTTGGAATGTGAAGACGAGTTGTAGGAAATGTCATCCCCTTCAAAATGAGCATTGGATGGGATTTTTCTGATGAACCATGAAAAAGTTATGCCTTGGATGGGATTTCCTACAATGCTCATCAGAAAAATCCCATCCAATGCTCATTTTGAAGGGGAGGACATTTCCTACAATTCATCTTCACATTCCAAGTCCAAGAAATGCTCTCACAAAAAGTTATCAATTTCAACATTATAGGTCATGTTCAAAAGTCAACAAAAAGGCATTTTAATTCAAAGACCATAACTTAAGATTGGTAGATTCAAATGACATGGGACCAAAGGCATTGGTTAGAGGACTTCAAGACCTTTCCAAAATGTCCAAGAACATGTCCATATGATCAAAATTGAGCAAGATATGCATTGGAGAAGTTGGGAAATTTTTGTGAAATGACAAAAGTCAACTATCCTTGAAACTTCAATTTTTGACAAAAGGGCCCACTTTTTCCACTTGATTCAGCTTTGCCATGCCTCCCACGTGTCCCATGATTTATTTCAAGATTAAAAATTAATTTTTCTATTTTTATTTAATTTTATTTGATTTAATCCATTTTAAATCTTTAAAATTCAAATAAAAATCAAAAAAATTAATTAAGGGATATCTTGTGGCTTGAATGGATTTGATACATCATAATCCACCTACCAATTTCGTGTAAGGTCCATTTTAAGCATAAAATTCAAATTTGGACAAAAAAGGCAAGTTTCTTCAATGGTGGTTATGGCAAAATCCAAAACTTCATTGCAAGGGTTAATGGCTCACATTATTGCTTGATTCTCATTCAAAGACATATATGCACGCCTCTCATACCATTTACACTACCTAGAAACCTCTGAAACAACATAGCCAATTTCCAAAATTCCAAAGAAAAGTCACAAACTGAAATCAATCTTCCAGTGCAATTCAAGCATTTCTTTTGATCCAAACACACTCCCAACACTCCCAGGAACAATTTGCAGTCATAAACCAACCCCAACACTCAAGGAAACGGCCAAACAGAACCACGATTTGAGCAAACTTTTCCATAA